TTTGCATTTATCCGAGGAGCGTGAGACAAATCGGTTAAGTGCAGCCAGCATCCCTGTGAGTTTCTGGACCTCTCGGACAGTGCGAGGGCTTCGGATATCCAGGATTGCTTTAATCTGATCTGGGTTGGCTTCGATTCCTCGCTGACTAACCAGATACCCGAGGAATTTTCCCGACTCCACTCCGAAGACGCACTTCGCTGCATTCAGCTTCAACCCATACTCCCTGAGAGTGGAGAAGGTATCCGCCAAGTCTGTAAGATGATCACCACTCCGTTTGCTTTTTACCAGCATGTCGTCTATGTAGACCTCCATGGTGTTGCCGATCTGCCTCTTGAACATCCGATTCATCAATCTTTGGTATGTTGCCCCGGCGTTCTTCAATCCAAATGGCATCACTTTATAACAATAAACTCCCTTCGGAGTGATAAACGCCGTTTTTTCTTGGTCCGGGGCATAAAGAGGGATCTGATGATATCCCGCTCGAGCATCCAGGAAGTCCATTCGTTCATATCCGGCTGTGGCATCTACCAGCTGGTCCACCTTCGGCAGGGGGTAGTCGTCCTTGGGACATGCCTTGTTAAGATCTGTGAAATCCACGCAGACACGCCATTTCCCCCCTTTCTTTTGCACATACTGTATTGGACAGCCATTCTGGGAACTGTATCTCTCGAATGGCGCCAGCTCTCAGGAGTTTGTCTATTTCCTCATTGACCGCGTTGGCGTGATGCGGGGCCATACGTCGTGGCCTTTGCTTTACTGGCTTGTGAGATGGGTCTACATGCAGCCTGTGAGTAATTATTTCGGGGTCTACTCCTGTCATTTCCATCTCGTTCCAGGCGAACACGTCTGTATTCCCTCTTAAGAACCTGATCATCTCCTCCTGTTCGGCTGCGGGCATCGAGGTCCCAACTAGGAAATACTTCTCTTCTTCTCCTTCTACCAGGGGCACCTTCCGGAGGTCTTCAACCGACCGTTCCGCTGGGTCTACCCGGGGGTCATCCATCCCCGGACGCCCGGACTGTAATTGCTATTTTTCTATGATCTCTTCCGGTGCTCGCCCCTTCTCCTGGCCGGACGCCCCGGCTCGGCTCGGCCGGCGAATAAAAACAGTTCTTCGCAGACGCTTGATCTCCCCGGATCTCCATGACGCCCTCTGGCGTGGCGAACTTCAACTTTTGATGGAGAGTGGAGTGTACCGCTCCCAAAGCGTGTAGCCATGTTCGACCCATAATCACGTTTGTAAGGGGAGTCCGTGTCGATCACCACAAACTCTGTGTCGATGACGAAGGGACCAGTGGCGACCGGTAATGTAATTTTCCCCACGGGCAAGGCGAAAGAGCCGTTGAACCCGATGAGGGGTGTCCTGATTTTGGTCAAGTCTTTGGGGCCAAAACCCATCCGCTTCAAAGTCTCGAAGTACATCACCTCCGAGGAACTCCCTGAATCATCAAGATTCTCTTGACATCGAATTTCCCTATCTTCAGGGTTAAGACAAGGGCGTCGTTATGAGGAATCACCACGCCCGTCAAATCCGCGTCAGAGAACATAATGCCAAGCTCACCCATCCTGGCCCTTTTGCTTGATGGCCCCACACCTCCTTCGGCTACCTTTCTGGTAAAAGCTACCTCTTGAGGTCGGATTCGAGCTCTTTGGACGTGGGGCGCTCCAGTGGACACACATGGATGACGTCTATGACGTTGTTTGGTTCCTCGGTCGGGGCATGGGCTCGTTTCTCTTCTGGCCTGGCTCTATGTATTCTTTCAGGTATCCATCTCGGACTAAGCTTTCCAAGAATGACTTGAACACCCTGCAGCTCTCGGTGCGATGCCGACATCCCGGTGATATGAGCATCTTACTGTTTGATCACGGGTGGAAAGGTCGCTTTGCATCCTGGGCGGCCATTTGAAAAACGGTTCGTGTTTGATTTTATGGAGCAACCTGAAGATGGGTTCCTTGAAGACGGTGTGAACTCCTCTGGACGAACCCCCTGGACGGGGTAGCAATCCCTTCCGGGGAATATCTTCGTGCTCTTTTTCCTTTCTCTTGGGTTGGAGGGCTCGGCCTTTGTTGCTCCCCATCTCGTCCTCGACCCTTGAGTACTTGTTGATTCGGGCCATCAGTTCCCCCATATCCGAGGGAGTCTTTTTGGTCAGGGATCGGTACAGGTCCGTGTCCCTGCCAAGCCGAGCCGGAATGATGCTGCCAGCCTCGCCATTGACCTCCGAGCATCCCCTCGACTCATTGCCTCCTGAGGGTCAGCAGTGATCCAATGTCCTTTGGGCGCTTACTCCCCGTGATGAATCGGGTTAGGAACTGCCTTGTCAATTCTTTCCAGGACCCAATACTGTTTGGGGGAAGCGCCTCGAACCACCTCATCGCGGAGTCCCCCAAGCTCATAGGGAATACCCGGCATAGAAACCGTTGGTCCGAATGATAGAGGGACATCATCTGCTTATACTGTCTGATATGGGCATCGGGATCAGATCGCCCATCATAGGTCTTGAACCGTGGCACGACGAACTTTCTTGAGACGTCCATCTCGCTGATTTCCCTCGTGAAGGGTGTTTGCATGACTTCGTCCTCGGCCTCGTCCTGGATCGTCTTGCCCTTTCTCCTGGAGTCTAATCGGGCTCTGAGATCTACTTCTTCCCTTACGGGATGCCTCCTGAAGTCTCTGGGTTCGTCGGTAAGCCCCTCGTCTCCTGGGCGTCGTGTAGATTGGGTTGAGTCCTCCTCGGATTCATCTCCCTTCCTCCGTCTGGATAAACCTCGCCGGAGGTCGTCCAGGGCCAATGGCCTTGCTTTCCTGGAATGGTTGTCAAGATGGCATTCGCCGGCTTTGGGTCGCTTCGGGGCCCTGGAGCTCTCTGCTTTGTGATCCAGGTGGTTCCTTAGATCCTTTGTCTCCGCCTCATGGACGGGGAGTCCTCGGGAGAGGAATGAATCCCTCGACCCTCCGCCTGAGGCAGCCTGAGGCAGCAAACTCGTCGAGCCGGCTGAGGACGTTTACATTGTCCTTCTCCAGCTGACGTAATCTATCGCCAAATTTCTCTTCAATCACCTCTGCCAGCTGACGGGCCAAGGGGGCTGATCTCCTGACCTGATACCCATACTGGTTTGAGGGGTTACCCCCCTTGACCGAGTAGAGGCACTTTTAATCGTACTGGTGCGATCCCTCCCTCCATGTTGGCAGGGAGCTTGCAACTCATGACTCCGTTGGTGGGGTCCTTTCCCTTTCTGTCTGGTGTTCACCATGGTCACTGTTCTTTTTAGAGAAAAGGTTAGGAAAACTACTCGTTTCCCACAGACGGCGCCAGATTGTGCGGGCTTGATCCTGCACGATATATAAAATATTGGGAACAGATCTCTCCCCTGGTGAACTTTGGGTGAGCCGGTTGAGTGGCCAAACACACTGCTCGAAACAGCCTGCAGGAACGGTGGCAACCTCGAACGGCGAAGGAAGATCCTGGGAAAGGAAGAACGATCCTGTACGTGCGAAAGGTATTTCCTGGATCAAAGGAGAACGAGTTAGAAGGGCGCCGGAGTGTTTTCCGGCGTATCCCCTCCGACGGTCTAGTCAGTCTTTGAATGAGAGAGAGGAAGGAGAAAACAATGAGAAGGATATTTCGTAGTAGAGAGTTTGTGATTGCATACCCGTTTGCCTTTTTGGGAGGGGTATTTATACCTTAGAAGCTCATGATTGCTGTCAGTGTGGTCAGTAGGTGATCATCAGGCATTGGCAGCGTGTGTATTGATTTGACGAGGAATGTCTTCTCTAATTGACTGCTCGGGATCCCGAGCAATCAATGTTGAGTCGTCGGGACGCCGACGGTACAATATGCTCCTTTCGGGAAGGATGTAATAAATGCTCCGTAATAGGAGCATTTATTGCCTTTCATATCCGAACCTTACCGCATTGAATGCGGTCTCGTCAACAGAAGGGTGCAATTAATTGTTTGCTTCCCAAAGCGCATGTCAGCAATAGCGTGCGGTTTGCCTGTTTTTGATGTGATATCATATGCCACGCGTCCGTCACGTATTGGCTATGACTTCTGTGTTTCAGCATGTTCTGACATTACTTGTGTAAGACGAGGTCATGATGAATAGTCTAGACTGGCATAGGCTGATGTCCCGTACGTCAGTAACTTTATCCGGGAGTAGAGGAAGCGTCCAGGATGGAGTGACCCTCGGCGCCGAGGAAAGGCTCACCTCGGGGGACCAAGGGGTGGTGTGTTCCCGAGGTACATGGTGACCGAGGACACATGTCATTGTATAATGTACCGAATATGTGATCCTGTATGAGAGGTACCTCGGGGGAGAGGACGCTTTTGCCGATGGTGCTTGAACCCGAGCAACATTGTCCTAGAACCCCCCCGAGGACGCGTGTCTTCATCATAGGCTTTTTCAGAAGAGTCCCATCAGTTGTGTAAAAGCTTCCAAACCATCTTGTTAGATAACCATTTCTGTTAGAAAACTCAAGCAACAAAACCACCCCACTTCTAAGAAAACCTAAATTCCATCAATGTTTTCTTCATATCAGATCGAGAATGGTTATGAATTTTATAAAAGGGGAGAGTAAGAAGGCAGTGGGCTTGCAAGACGTGATGTCTGTGTGTGTGTGTGTGTTGGGGGGGGGGGGGGGGGTTGATGACTAGGTTGAGGTGTTATAAGGTATTATTGTTATTTTAATAAATTTCATTAAAAGTAACTCTCACAACTAGCACGTCACTTCCACGAACTGTTAAATTTGATGAAAAGTTTGACGGTGCAGTTTGGGGTACATCGTAGGGAGGTCAGATTTTGGCACAGTCGCCTTGATGGCCTGCAATATTTAGTTTATACCCAACATGCTGGCTAACAGTTGGGTAACAATTATTACCCTTGTTTTTAAATCATCATGACCAAACCTTTTTGAATCACCTTCGTTCAACTACCAAGATCTACAAAACAATATCAAGTTTCAATCACAGAGACAGAGACAGAGACAGAGACAGAGAGCAATGGCGTTGACCTGGAGGAAGGAGTACTTGGATCTAGTTTTGGTCCCTGTTGGGCTGTTGATCATGTTTGGATATCATCTCTTCCTCCTCTACAGAGTCCTAAACCTTCCTGAGACAACATCCATCGGTTATGAAAACCACAATAAAAAAGCTTGGGTTGAGAGAATAATGCAGGTCAGAACCCCCAAACCCTTCTTATCTTCAAATGATAAAGAATCTCTCCGTTGAATCTATATTCATCACCTCCAGAAATTCAATGGGTATTGGCAGGTCGAAGCAAAGGACAGAGGGTTTGCTATATCCGTGATCAGCAGCAACATATCTGCGGCCACTTCCCTCTCTTCAATCTGCTTAGTTCTGAGCTCTCTAATCGGAGCATGGCTCGGAAGCTCTTCCGACAACATTTTCACGAGCAATCTCATTTACGGAGACGTAAGGTCATCTACCGTCTCCATCAAATACATTACCCTCCTTTCCTGTTTCCTACTGGCTTTTACTGCTTTCGTACAAACTACTAGGTGCTTTGCTCATGCCATTTTTCTCATAAGCATGCCAAACACCGACATTCCTGCAACCTACGTCGAGAAGGAAATGGTAAGAGGAAGTAACTACTGGGAAGTTGGCCTTCGAGCAATCTATTTTGCCACCACTTTGTTGCTGTGGATCTTTGGTCCAATCCCAATGTTTGTTTCCGTGGTGGTTATGGTGGCAGTGTTGCATAATTTAGACACCAATTCAACCCCACTGCATCCATATCAGCCGCTCCAGAGTCATAACCTTTTCAAGAAGATTGGTCAGGGAATAACCACAGAGCACAATCAAATGCGAAATGAGAATAGAAACAGAACTTCAGTTGTCCAACCATGACAACAGCCTGCAACTATAAGAACAGAGCTATTGGGGAAATATAAGATTATTCTTCTTCTCTTCTCATCCACAATTCTTTCTTCCCAAATACATCAGATGTTCCACAGAAGGAAGCATAGGAAGTTAACTTTTTCTATCTTTTTGTTACTGTTTATAGCTTCACGGCTTCAAAACTGCAAAACTAAAATCTCCACTTGCAGTTTCTAATGAGAATCTCCAGCCCAATTGTGTCCTACATGCCTTACTTTTGAGTGCTTAAGTACACATATTTTCTTTCAATTTCGATCAATTCATAAATCATACACTACAAATATTTTGAAGTAAAGGAATTCTCATGAGCCATCAGAACATAACCCACAAAATTCGTTTCTAAGCTTCATCAACTGTTGTAACTCTTTTACTTATGGCAATATAGTCCCATGTATTACACCCTTATCATGAAATATTGATTGCTTGTTGAATCCTGTGAATTGCATGAATGTAGGTTACTCCCAAAAAAATGTATTAAATTGGGTCCATGAATCTAAGAAATAGTGAGAATTTTGAGGAACTGTTTTGGCAGATTATTTCAGCTGCCCGATAGTTGGACTCTATATTTCAATAAGGAGCATTGCTTATTGACTTCTACATGAAGTTTCAACACCTCTGTTTCTTGAATGTACGTTTCTTAATAGGTTCTTAAGAGAAGACCCTAAATTTTCAGAAACCCAAATGCTCCATTGGGGAATTTTCAGAGACCCTAACTTGGGCGAGCCATGATGTGACAGATTTGGTGCGAGGTTGTGGACCGAAACAGAGCGGAGAGAGAGAGAGAGAGAGAGAGTCTAACTTGGACTAGCCATCAATTGTAGTTGTTGTATATTAGGTAGAGATAGAATATCTACCGTTAGAATAATGAGTAATGAAAATGATGAATTAGGCAAGTATTTTTAATATTATTTATTAATAACTATAATTCACTTCTTTTGGTTCTCTTTGCCAACACCTTCGTCAGCTTGTTTTGCAAGAGAACATTAAATTAATATTTATCTTTAGCTTGATTTTGCGAATTTCTACAAATACACAGTAAGTCTCACCAGGGTCCCTCTACTATGACCAAAAAAAAAAAATTGGCACTAGTTGATACCTGTAAAAAATCTGAAGCATTTACTGGGAATGATATCAAAATAAAATTATAATTTAATGAGATCTAATGATTTGAGATTGATTATGAGGGTGACTTTGGCATAGAGATAAAATAGTGTTACTAAGAAACAATCTCTTTTGAGACGTGATAAGATTGACTACCTTTTTTTTTTGAGACTGATCTAATTTACTCCTGCTGAATTATATTCAACTTGATGTTCCTTGTGTGGTTATTTCTTCCTCTCCCTACTAAAGTTTCCTCTAGTTATATATATACTTGGGCACCTCTTATTTTCTCATGAAATCTTACAGGATTATGTATAAATTCAATAAATGTATGAAAATGTCAGTAGGATAAAGGAAAACTAAAAAAAGATATGTATTAGTTCTTACATTTTCACATATGAAACAGAAAGAGGGTGTTTGCCCATGAAATGCACTCCTCTGAACGACAATGGGATTTCAGCTTCAATAGTTGCAGCTGAAAAGGTAATACAACTAGCGTACCCAAAAAAATAAAATTAGTACAAACACAGCCCCCAACATTCTTTGGCTGTGTGACTATAGTCATCTGAAAATCTTGTAGCTTTCTAGATCACTCACAGTCACATTATATTGTTGTTCACCAAGCATGCAAAAGAAGCACCTCTCCAAGTATTGCTAACAATTATCATGTAGAGCATGAACCAGATCAAACCTGACTAGAGCATACCCAATAGCAAAATGGCTCCAAAGATCAAGCAACCATGTTTCCATGGTTTGCCTTCAGTACCACGACTCCATTCCCCTCTCTCTCCAATGAGCTCGCCCAAAGAGGCCACAAAATCTCATTTTTACTGCCAAATGGCTAAAACGTGCAATTATCAGATACGATTTTTATAGAGGAATTCAACATTTTCAGGAGAATCAAGGTTTCTCCTTGCGGTGATCTGCAGAAGTGCACCATCAGTTAGCATATGTTGCAACATTCTTGCTATGTTTTTTGTGTCATCAATCCCAAGGTGGTGACTTCCTAGCAAAGGAATCTGAAGTTCCTTCATCATAGTGAGCATCCCTGTGGCCTAGATTCAAGGAAGGAAAAAAGAAGGCAACACTTCGGTATTAGACTATCAATTTGCGAGAAACTGAAACTAGAAACAAACGAATCTGGGGGTAATTTGGCCTCGGCATAGGTGGAGCCCAACCACCTACCCTGGCCTTTGGGTGACCAATTCTACAACCAGATATGGCAGCAGTAAGTCATCAACTGCATCCACATTGACCAAAAGATAAAGATACTTTGTTCATGATGCAACCTAATCCAACCCAAGATGAAATAGGAAATCCTGGTCTTGGGTAGAAAAGGTCACAGCTCTTGGCATTAAGCCCTTGGGTGGGTTTCTGTTTGATGTTAACAGTACCCAGCCCAAATCACATTGTCATGCTAGAATCCACATAGTAGGGAACCACCTAAGAAAAAAATATGATCATTCATTTGAATCCTGAAATCAGATGTTTGTGTACTCACCCTCCTCTGGTAAAAGTTCAGATAGACGTCTTTCAAATTGATCCATTCTGTAAAATATGAGGGAAGCTTCATCCTTGATACTTTGCATTGCTGAGGGACTTTAGTTTTCAAATCCCAATTCCCACTGGTACATGTAAACAAAGATATTTCAGTGAACAAGGTTCTGAGCTCTTGTTCTGCTTTGCATATATTGAATAGCTGAAATTAAAAAAAATTTGGGGGTTTTTACAATTTCTCATCCAACATACCATGAATACCGAATCACCTACACTAGTTTGATTGTTTATTTTATTTCTGTTTTTCTAAGCTTAACAACTGGGTTTTTGACTGTCCCATTTTATGTAATGTCTCCTCCAGCGGTCAAATCATTTTCAAGCCACATATATGAACAATACAGGCATTTAATAGAACACTGAAACAACATTCATGTGGCATGTAGATGACCCCAAAATATTTGGGACAAGGCTTTGTTGAGTTGAGATAGCAAAGCCAAATGTCTCTTTTTTGTTTCTATCTCCAAGAGAACAACGGTGTATTAGTCTTTAGGTGGTGATAGCAAGTTCAAACATAATCAAGTTTGAAGCTGTACTGAAAGGGGATTGGTTTCATTTGAACGATTTTTCCACCAGTAGCTCTCCATAATAGTGAACTTACCATGTCACAAAAGCAGCCCTATTAAGACGCTCGTTGAGCTCCTTTCTCCACAAGTGATGCTGAGCCATCCAAGCTTCAAACTGTTGAATAACTTCATTAAATGAGATAGCTGTATCATGCCAGACACTGCAAGTGTAATACCTTATGTCACTTTTCAGTGTATATGCCAAAGGAGCTTTTGGTTCTTCATAAGCATCAGAGAGTAAAGTTCACAATAATTCGTTCAAAACAATCTCCACAGGCAAAGAATTTTAACCAGTCAGTATCACGAAATTAAATCAGCATCAATAGCTATGGGACCGCTAAACATTTGCAAATTTTCATCCTCCCAAGATAAATCCTGATGGTGAACCAATAAATAGAATACAGGACATTTTAGTTATGATGGGAATTAGTATTTTAAATATGATGGTCCTAAGTGTGGTTCTAATGGGGTTTTCATGCAGTGAAGCAACCAAAACAATGTCCGCCATGCCAACAAGATAGTGTGTTTTGCTTAAACAGTAGTGCAAAAGAGTTTAGGAACCATCATATCAAAAACACGAATTCAAAAACAAATCCCATTTTTCCCCCTCAAGTGGTAATGCGTGGAAGATTGGCAAAGGTATTGGAAATTACTGAGGCACATAAGCATCACTTTTAAGCAACCACTCTAGAATAGTGGTAGAAACAAATTCATTAAGTTCAAAATTTCAAATCTATACTACTGTCCCAGTGCATGTGATGATCACCGTACTGAAGTCAGATATACTGGCATCTGACCTCTAGTGGTTACAACCTATAAGTGAAGTTATCCATGGGCCCAGACACACAGATATTGAACTCTTACGCAAGAAATAGTTCTTCTTTTGATAAGAAACAAGAACAAGATATGTATCTAAAACCAAGTCTAGAAATGGTATAAATCCATTCTCATTTTATTATCTTTTTTCAAGGTGTATTTAATTGTTGCTGCAGATGTAACTGCCCTTCCAAAATGTTGAAGTTCTTGCACAGCATCAAATGTATGCCCTTATGGCCTCTATGCACTTTCTCACTTGATATTTTCTTTTTGTCTTTTTTTTTGGGCCCCTCCAACCCTTCCAAAACTTCCAAAGAATATGCCTGAGTACCATGATACCATAAAGTAGTAAGGGGTAGCACATTATGTAGTTTAGGATTATTCCACCAGCAAACCAAAATGGTAGCCAACGAAGTCTGTTGAAAAGTAGAGTTGTTGGCAAGAAACCTACTGTCATTGATAGAGCCAAGAACAATTCTCGTCCCTCCCATAGATATTCACATATATGCCTTATGTTTGGATGAATCTTATACCTCCCTACAACAATTCTCAACATACATTAAAGAGCTTTAATTCTCTTTCTATAGGTAGCTTTGATATTTTTTTCTTGCAATGCTTTATGTTTTCCCCCAATAATTGCAATGAATCTTCAGTATTTTCGTAATTGCTATATTATCTGGGTGGAGGGTATGACTTGTATTGCATATTGTTAGCTCCAACCAAGTAGACAGAATAATTAACAAGATTAGTTAGTGATATAAAGAGCTTGGCCGGTGTAACCAAACATATCCATGAAATTGAACCTCCAAAATAGAGTACCAGCTGTTAAATTATGGTGTGAACAAAATCATTAGAGATTCCAGTGACAAGCATCGAAGTGGAATCAATCACATACCGATCAACTCCAATTTTTCCATATTTTCCTTCAATATATTCATTTAGCCTTTGCTCACTCATTGCTGAGGGCCTCACAAACCTGTAAATTAAAATATGGGAATAGAGGAGGAGAAAAATATTAACTAATAAGTGATTGAAAATATGCTTTCTAGATAGAACTTATAACTCCTAACCTACCTTTACACATAAGTTCAGGCAAGAAAACGACAATCAGTAATAAAGCAACAAATAATGCATATATCAGTATGAAACTATGAGTATTCCCTCACAAACCTTGTTATGGGCACAACTGCTCCAGTTTTGCAACGCACTTTTTATTTTTTTTGATGAGAAAACATTAATATATTCATAATAATACAAAAAAGTACATCATAAAAAGAGAAGTTGGACAAGAAGTCCAACCCTCAAGTGACAAGATACAAAACAAAAATCATAGGACAACGCCTGTGAGGTCCAACAACTAAAAATCACAAACTGCCCTCTGTCCCACCAAAATGCAAAAAAATAGAATTGCTTCAAAGTCTTTTGCAATGCACTTGAAAGTAAGTATGCTTCTCTAACAGTATATCCAGTTATCATCCTAGTGTAGAGCCTACTTACTGCAGAATGGTAAGCCAGGCATGCAACCATCCTCTTCTTTACCCCCTCCGGGCCCTAATTACGGTCAATAAGCATAATGTCAATACGATTTTCCCAGGAGATGGCCCTTCGCTTATTCTTATGATATGCTACGGTCTTTATTTCACTAGGACTCATGTTCTCCTGACATGTTATGTTCACTTCTTATGGTTGCAGATTTCCCAACCTATTCCCAAGCTAGTTGCAAGTGAAAGGTGCATAAATTTTAACACAGAAGATCATATTAATTCAATCCACACTACGTACATCAAACATAAACAGAGCAGAACCTGTGGAACAAATCCACGACCTGCATGTTTCTGGCATCAACCATCAGAACAGGAAACTCGAGAATCTCAACTTTTCCCTCCAAATCAAGCACAAGAAAATAATCTAACTGCTGAGAGCGTAATTTTTTGAACTCGGCAGCACTTAATCTAAGCTCCCTGGAGCAATCATGATTGAAGCTCTCAAGGTGGATTGGATCATCCATCTGTGAAACAACAAACCTTTAATTAGAAAATACACAGTTCGTGTTTTTTGCATTAGAAAGTAATATCTATCTGAGATGCCAGATGTTGTTTTTCATAACGGGAGTGTTGATGAGATTGACAATTTAATATTCTGGGACCATAACACTGTCAAGGAAACCACCTGAGACCACTCCCAAATACAGAAATTTTAAAATCTGCACATGCAACGCATGAAGCTTGAGAAGGACATCCATATTTTCCAAGTTGATTCGTATCCTTGAAGGACCCAAACAAATAGAACTTTTTCGGTTTTTCCCAATACAATGTGACATGAACTTCTGTGGCCAATACATAGACACCAGCAAAATTCAACATACCAAAGCAATAACTGAAATATCACCTGCACAGGCAAACAACATTATCCCCATCCCCCACCAAAAAGACAGCAAAAATGGAATCTCTCTTCCAGCCTACATGCATGTGTGCATGACACACTGAGAGTACTCCCATTCATACCCATGACATGACTTGCTGCTCACAATCTCACACCGAGACTCAGACTGACAAATAAGCAAATACAAACTCGTTCTCTGTATATATAAAGCTGTGTTCGTGAGGTCCTATGGTCTGTAGTCAAGGCCATGAGTGTATATGTTTGTTATGTAATAGCGCTTTGCTGCAATAGAACAATTTCAGAATATCTTTGGTTCCCCCATGTTTAACTCACATGCTATGTCATGCTAAACAAGAACATTTATGAGTATTTAAGGTTAACATCCAATATTGCAAGTGGATGTCCTTCTTCACATTCCAATATATAGTTTGATAATGTATCAAACATAATTAGTAGGTGCCGTAAGTGCCAACAGAAGCCATGCTAACAAACCTGGTTGGATTTTCTCAAAACCATCAACAATCAATGCAGTCCATCCAAATTTGAGGCTCTTAGAACAGCCAAAGAAAATATAACATTATCGAGTAATAAAGTGATATTAATGCCAGGTTTGGGATCATGCAATTCATGGCTTAGAATTGGAATTAAATACTACAGTAGTTTAATTGAAATTTCCTCCAATTACAATAACAAGGGATGAATTAAATGCTTCCAAACACAACGTAAGCATATTTTTTGTGCTTTTTCCGCAATTAAATGTAAGGCCAGCATGCACAGTTCAAGTAAACACTGTCTTCTACATCAAAATTGGTCATGCCAATTCAACAAAAAGCTCACCCAAACAGAAATCTGGACAGTGATTAATGTTTGAAAATTTGTAGATGTTGAATATATATACTAGAGAAGGAAAATTTTCTCTTTTTGTTTTGATAGGCAACAAAGGAGTGATGTTTGACCAGCCAAAAAAGAAATCCTTGATATTAGACAATTTTCAGCGAACAAATGGCGTGTTGAAACCATGTCCATATGGATGAGCCAATTCAATCAGTAACCAAAGGACAGTACTTGGTGTGTGTGTGTGTGGTGAGGTTAATCGAGCTAATTGAGGTGGAGAAGCTTACCTTAGTGCACTTACCTTGAGTATAGTACAAACACATTGGCTTCCAACGGTGGCTTGTCTTCAACGACGTAGGTTCAACCGAAGAGGAAGTTGATCCTTGGGTAGAGAGAGAGGCTGAGAGACTAAACCTGCATTTTGGACGAAGAGAGAGAGTAAAAGACGACATTGAGAAAGGATTCAGAGAAGATAAAGAAGCAGCAGCACTCTGGCGAAGCAAAGAAGTTCGAGAAATCGCCATTGATCGATTCTGCTTCTCCAGCAGTTTTACCCTATGGTTGGTGCAGTGCAGAGAAAGAACGCTGTAATTTTAGGATAAGGGCCACTTCTCGCTTATAGAAGGTTCCAGAAACCTTAGAACACCGGTTCTATAGTTTGGGCGACTCAGACAATTTTTTCCATACAAGTGTTTACGTTTTTTCATAGAACTTCCTACAAGTCTCACTAGTGTAAGACACGTTCAAGTCTTACGACAAAGTCAAAGGGTCTAGAAATAGGATTAAGTAATACATATTTTTTAATCTATCAAAATTTTTTATTCTTTAAAAATGTGTGCTCGTTATAAGATTACTTATTGAAATCGGTATCGTAACGATTTTAAAATTATAGTTCTATTCATCTCAATCATTAATTTTGATTTATGTTATTTATAATAATTAATTAAAAAAATAATACCACGAAAGATCTGAACTATTGTTCAATCTTATAGGGTCGTGAATTTGAGTGATTTTGTGTTGAGATTCGTGTCCTGGTTTTCGGTGGGGGGCTTAGAATTGGCCAAAGGTTGAGTTGTAGGTGACAAAATATTTCTGACAAACTAGAGAATGTCTAAGCCCCATGAGAAGCAAAATCTTATAAACAAGATACGTCATAGAGAGAGCTTTTTATATGTTAGTGTGATTTTTGGAGGGACTCCTTTGAAATAGTAGGAGGATCAAAAACTTGATAAACTATGAAAGTTGAGGTAGAGATTCTTGCATTTGCTGCACTATGATTTTTAGTTTTAGTTGGACTCTTTTAAAGTAGTAAGAGAATAAAAAATATAATAGATTTTTTTTGAACTTTTTTTTTTGGAAAAAAGAGAAAACGAGGAGAACTTGAACCCTTGATCTCAAAAAAACAAATCTTCACAAAATAAAGAGTATATTAGATGATCCATTAATTAATAGATTATGAAAGTTGAGAGAGTTTTTTGTACATTTAGTATACTGTTATTTTTAGTTGGACTCTTTTGAAATGGTAAGTAAAAACTGGTTAGACTATGAAAGTTGAAAATGATAGACAAAATGCATATTTGCTAATCAATAATTTTACTCTGGTTTAATTATTAATAATTATTAAATTGACCATAAATTTCAATATTTATTGATATTCACAACATGTTTTGAGTGTGTAAAACACACTCTCCGTTATCTTGACGCTTCTAACTGTAAAAAAACAATTAACCCTTAATTCAATATCCCCAAACAAGTTTCCTTTTAATTAAAATTTGCTAAACTAGGAGCCTTTGGGCATCCAAAAGCCTCCAAAACGTGTGAATGCTAAAGCTAATTTCAATTAATGGCCACTTTTTTACTGTAGCTTAATACGCAAAAGAGCTAAAGAGGATATATAGTACACTTCTTGTTTCCCATAGGAAAGAAGGGGAAAAAAGAAAAAGGGGGGAGGGGTAGAAGTTCATCTCTCTGTGCTAGCTAATGTATAATGGTGAAGGATATAACATGAATTTAGAATATAAGCCATGCTGGGCATCCTAAAAGCCACTATACCATCAAAAAGTTCCTGTAGATACACTCTGAATCAATCAGATTCCTCTTCATCGAGCTCGGTGAAATCTTCTATCACATCAAATCTAGTAGTTTGTTTGCTCATTGAGCGCATTTCATCAATTTCAATCAGTAACAACGGGTCACAGACCACTCTTTCCGCTTGCAGTATTTTTGGGCAACCTGAAAAGGTGTATGATTCAGGTGAGACCACCAAGTGGAATTCAAAGGAGAAAACTCAGATGGATGTACATATAAATAAAAACCTGGATACCTGACATAGGGCACTGAGCGCGTGCATTCTTGGACCTTATGTATTGCATGATGACCACCTTTTCATATATGTGCTTGCAGTCCATGCTGCACCAGTATGGTAAAAATGAAGAAAGCCAACCCAAGGTAAACAATGTAATAACTTAAATGTCCAAATGCTTGCATCAATGCAATCAAATCAGAAACAGGTGATGTAATTTACATGCTTTATACGTGACACTCATCAACTTATAGGCTTTATTGGGAACTCAGAAAACGTGAAGAAAAGGAAAAGAAACTATTGGGATCATTCTTTATGCAACAGCATTTTCTTGAAGTTACTAGACGTAGCTTAACGCTTCCAATTGCTACTAGATTATTTTCTTTATATAACGTCTTTATTGTGAAGTGACTATAAGTAGCTCCATGCATTCCAATTCCAACCCAAACATTTTATTATTTTTTGCATTGCCAAGTTTGTGAAATTGTAAATTGTTATTGATTGACAAGAACCAGAGAATGCACAGTTTGGCTGAAACAGGGCACACTCATTTATGTAAACTCACTCACATGCAATCTGAAAAATAGCAGGAAAATATGCACATAATTAGTTTTATTTAGGGATTCATCTACACTTCAGTGTTTCGGGCATTTAAAAAATCTCCTCTGAATAAAGAGAGACAGCAAGCTTTTATAAAAGATCAAACTAACCTGCGAACTGGATCTTCCAGTTCAGTAACAGGTTTTCCACTTAAAGGGCAAGCGACATTCAGAAGGTTGCATTGTGTACTGGTCATTACAATATCCTCATGCTCTTCCCTGGCATTGGCTGTCCTGCATGATGAACACTCTGCAAAAACAGTGGGAACCACGACAAATCAAAAGACACTTGAGAAGTTACTCCAGATATCTGAGATCATTAAAAGGCAGATAATAAACAGGATACACATTTTGATAAAAAAAAAAAAAAGGATACACATTAAAATTTTCTTTGCAAATTACAATGTTGGATTTTCATCGAGGTCAAGAAGAACATCAACAGAAACTACATCATGTACAGACTTCTCTAATTGTAGAGATGCTTATGCTTCACAAGAAATGTGATGGAACTTCAACTGGTGAACCACATCTCTTTATTATGAGCATGACTTAAATATCTCCACATTTCATAAGTGCATTTGTCAGAAGCCAGCATGAAGTCCGTGACACCTCAGTAAAGCATTGAATTTGGTGGTGAAACAAGTGTCACCAAACATGACTTTTATACATGGTAATTCCTCCCTTGAGTGGTTTGTAAATACAGTTATTTATGAAGCTCCTCATTCTTATCATTCTGCTTAATCACAAACAACAATTTTCTAGTTTCACTAGATCATCCAAAAAGAGGTTGCTGCACATGCAGCATACAATCTAAAGCCAAAGCCAAAGGCTGGCATAAGACTATTCTATGTGTGATGCTTACCTATAATAAGCTGAAACCAAACAAAACCCTAATGTTTACTCGTACAAGTTGGCAGGCAAACATACCCAGATAGCTTCCCTAAACTGGCGTAATAATGGATGATTTTGTGGAACAGAAGACGAACTAGCCTTCAACTTTGCAATCTCATCGTCAAACAACTTCTTAAAATCAGTTGGCTGCATTTGGAATATGTAATCAAGAATTCAGTCGTAAAAAATCAACAAAATTAAAAAATGGGAAAATGAAATCTACAAAGCAATAAAAACTGCATTAGTAAGAAGAATTCAAGCACCCCTTCTCCAGGCTGGTACCCATTTCCAAAAGACTGAATTGCTGAGGAAAAATGAGTACAATCTTCAGAAGATTCCAGCAATTCAATAAAACTAGCTTCAAGCTCCTTCACCTATAATTAAATTAAGCTTCTCATCAACTCCAAAAGGTGTCATTGGCCAAAAAAAAAAAAAAAAAAAGATTCTATCTATTCTTTTATGTTCCAAAGATAATACTCATCATTATATGCAACTACGGTTTATAAGTGAAAAATAGGAGCTCCCTGAAAAGGTTTATAAAGTTGAGGTTCATAAGCATCTTTAACCCGTGGTTTATACTTTATCGGTTCAGACCAAAGCTTATTTCCATTTTCATTTCAATTTAGCATTCATCAGATAAACAATGAATTTGTGGACATCTCAGAAAAAGTTTTCCCATTCCCAGATATATAAATGTGTAATGCAAATTGGTTTTTCATAAGCATGCTGGAAGTGACAGGAGGATATATCAATCAAAACAAGGAAATTAAAAAGGATTCTACAAGTTTAGGCTTATAAACATATGGAAACAAGGGTTTCACCATCTACAATAATAAGCAATAAGAAACTACAAAACCACCAAAATTCCAGAGAATAGGGATTATCAATCAGTATCATCAAGAAAACTTCGGCCATACAGATTATCGAATCATATATGAGCAGTATCTCAGGCTGTAAGAGAACGATTTCATATTCTATTAACAAACATATCCCATTGAAAATGCACAGTCTTTGAACTTGGAGACAAGGTTTTATCATTGAAATTAGAAAGTACCATTTGAGACTGATTATCTTTCTCCAAATCAACCGCGATTTCCTTCATCATAATCAGAGCTTTTCGAATATCCTGAAGCGAAAGTTCAAAATCATATAAAATTAGACTGGAATGTTAGGGTTTGAAGGAAAAGGGAATCTCACTTACACAATGAGAGGTTGGTGATCCGAGTAAAGCGTCGAAGCTGCGGATTTGATCCTTCCGGCGGAGACATTACCACGAGAAGCTGATGCAGAGGTCGACGCCATTTAGGTATTCCAGGGTTTCTTAATTGAAGGGGTTTGCTCGAGCTATTTTCGTTAGCGACGATGATAAGGTTGGTAGAAGTGTGGGGTTCACTGGTTTGCGGTAATGGGAATTTGGAGGGAAAATTATTCCTAAATTTGTATACCCTTCCAGCCGGGGGCACAGCTCAACAGACTTGGTAATGGTATTCCTAATAAAAACC